CCTTCAAGGTCGAGAAGGGAGAATGCTGACATGTCATGGGGTTGTTAACCAATGTCATAAAACAGTATGTGTACTAACCGTTTAATGAGAAACTATTTGTTCTGTAAACCTTCACCTAAAGTACAATTTAAAAAAAAAATTACGCATAAAGTGTTTTGTGACACTGGTTACAATCCCTACAACGTGACAGCACTCTCCTCCTTTCCACCCAGGGTTCTCCATGTCCATTCGTCCAGTTTTCCTGTTCCTTCCTGCCTTCTCGTCTTTGCTTATGGGCAGGTGTTGCTCATTTGGTCTGGTATACTTAATTGAACTAAGAAGCACGTTTCTCACGTGTGCTACTGTTCGTTTTATAGGCCTGTCTAATCTTTGGCTGAAACGTAGGCTTCGGGAGTGGCTTCAGTTCTGAGTTAGCAGGGTGTCTGGTGGCCATAGTCTCAAGGGTTCCTCCAGTCTCTGTCAGACCAGTAAGTCTGGTCTTTTTTTGTGAATCTGAATTTTGTTCTACATTTTTCTCCTGCTCTGTCCGGGATCCTCTACTGTAATCCCTGTCAGAGCAGTCGACGGTACAGGCACAATCTTTCCATGAAACAGGCGTTTCTCCTCATTTTAAGAATGAAGAAACAGAGGCGGAGAGAAGTTAAATAATCTCCCAGGATTTGAACCCAGGTCTGTCCCACTCTAAATGCAGCCAGCATTATATTCAGAGCACTGGTTTTGGGACAGGAAGACCTGGCCTCAAATCCAGGCTCCACTGTCAAAAACTGTCCTTGGGCTTGTCACTTGATTTCACTAAGCCTTCGTTTCTTAATCTTCTTCAACTCACAGGGTTGCTGAAGAAAATGTAAAGAGTTCAGCAGACCTTGACATAGAATAAGTACTCAAAACCCATTGCCGTTGTGATTCCAACTCATAGCGACCCTACAGGACAGAGAACTGCCCCATAGGGTTTCCAAGGCTGTAATCTTTACGGAAGCAGACTGCCACATCTTTCTCCCCTGGAGCAGCTAGTTGAGTCTGAACTGCCAACCTTTCGGTTAGTAGCTGAGCACTTAACCACTGCACCACCAGGGCTCCTCAGAATAAGTACCTGTTAAAAACCAAACCCGTTAACGCTGAGTTAGTTCTGACTCATAGCAACCCTCCAGAACAGAGGAGAACTGCCCCATAGGGTTTCCAAGGAGCAGCTGGTGGATTTGAACTGTCGATCTTTTGGTTAGCAGCCGTAGCTCTTAACCACTGTACCACCAGGGCTCTGGAAGCAGAAAATACGGCCCTGAAAATCAACATTACCAAAATGGGGAAGACAGCTTTCATAAAATGAAAGAGGACGGGAACTGAACGAGAAGCCGGAATCAACAGGATTCGGGTTACAGGTAGGCATGAACTGGCTCTGGGCGAACACTATTCACATTTTCCACAGAATGAAGAGACACAATATACTTGGAAGAGAAAGTACACAGGTCAGGAAACAACCGCTCGGCTCCTGCTGTGACCTGAAAGAATGTAAACATTAGACTGCTGTTCCCACAGTCCTGGGAGAGTCCTCTACTGTTCTGGGCACAAAAGCCTCCTCCAGATGATCTCGCAATTGTCTACTGAGATGGGGCGGCAGCAACACCGAGGGCCTCAAACTCTGCACTCCAGCGACCATGCGTGCCCTCCCAGCTCACCAGCAGCACTGGCCCACCCCAGCTCTCGAGAGCACTGGCACGCCGGGACGAAGACAAAAACCAGGGGGCACACATCAGCAAACGGGGCGCCCAGGCTCCAGCATCAAGAAGGCCCTGATTTGAATTCCAGCTCCACCACTGAGACGTAAGAGCCTTCTGGCAAAGGGAACAGGAAGACTGGATCGCTGCAGGGAAAGCTTTGCTGTCCAGCAGGAACTGGATCAGACCCTCTAGAAGGGGAACTGAGGCTGGGGAGGAAGGAGGTTGGGGGAGGAGAAATGGGGTCAGTCTTGTAAAGGCAGAACACTGTGAACTGGCTCTGTCCAGAGAGAGGCCAGTCTTGGCATGGCCGGGCTGGCTGGCGACAGTCACTGGTGTGTGTAGGCCGTCTGGGGATTATGGTATCCGGTCAGTCTGAGCCACTGTCAGCGAGCCGGGAAGCCAGGTTAGGGATGATCACTTGGCAAGCAATTTAAACCTGTTTCCTCGCCTAATTGAAAGTTTGGCGGCTCGAACTCATCCAGAGGTGCCTTCAAAGACAGGCCTGGCGATCTGCATCTGAAAGGTCATGACCTTGAAAATCCTAAGACATGCAGTTCTACTCTGCCCGCCTGCGTCGCCCTAAGTTGGAATCGACTCGACAGCAACTGGCTTTTGTCCGTAAAGAAGGATAAAAGAAGAGCCGACTCTACAAAGTCAGAGTAAGCAAGCTTATGTGACAAACTCTAACTGACCCATAGGGTTTCCGCGGCTGCAATCTTTACCAGGGCAGACCGCCAGGTCTTTTGTACTGATAGGTTCAAACCGCCAACCTTTTGGTTAGCAGTCAAGCACTTAACAACTGTGCCACCAGAGCTTCTTAATAAATGAGAGAATGACAGACAAATACCCTACTTGCATCAACAATCAATGCCCATGGAAGAAGCAGTCAAGAAATTAAATGATGTGTGGTACTGGGCAAAGCTGCTACAAAAGACCTCTTTATAAAAAGCAAAAATGTCATTTTGAGGACTAAGGTGCGCCTGACCCAAGCCATGGTATTTTCAATCACCTCATATGCATGTGAAAGATGAACAATGAAAAAGTAAGACCAAAGAAGAACTGGCACCTTTGAATTATGGTGTTGGCAAAGAATACTGAATATACCAGGAGAACGACTGCCAGAAGAACGAACAACTCTGTCTTGGAAGAAGTACAGCCAGAATGCTCCAGAAGTGAGGACGGTGAGACTTCATCTCATACACTGGACATGTTATCAGGAGCGACCAGCCCCTGGAGAAGGACATCATGCCTGGTAAGGTAGAGGGTCAGGAAAAAAGACAAAGGCCGTCAATGAGATGGACTGACACAGTGGTTGCAACAATGGGCTCCAGCATAAAATAATCGTGACGATGGCGCGGACCGAGCAGTGTTTCGTTCTGTTGTACATAGGGTCGCTATGAGTCGGAGCCGACTTGACGGCACCTAACAGCAACAAATACCCCACAAATGCTAGCTGTTGTTCTTAGAACTTCCATATGTTCTTTATGTGTTCTGCACAAGGTATTTCGTAGTAGCACCCCTGTCTGCCACATGGGGGCCCAGGCTCGCCCCCCCACCCCCCCAGACCAGGCAATGGTGTCTCTTCGCTGGAATGTTCCGCTTGCTGAGACAGAGTCAATGGTGATGGTTTTGTTGCCACTGCTCAAGGCCTAGGAGAGCTGAACGAGCAACCTCAGTCCCCCGTCCCCACCAGGAGATAAGAAGACCTAGAGGGGGGCGTGTTATGCTTTGTTTCCCACCCCCTACAGCACCCAGCCCAGCTCTGCTTCCCTGGTACATGACCAGCCCCTCTTAAACCGAATTACTTTAAGAGTTGGAAACTTTACAAGTTCAAACCACAGAACAGTTGTATTCACGGCTCTTAACATCATTAAAAGCTAACATTTCCTTCAGGAAAAGAAAGAAAACCACAACCACGAGAATCCATGAGTATAAAAGGGCGTCTTTTTAAACCTTTCCACTTTTTTTTTTTAACCTTTGTCTCTGTTGAGTGACAAAGCAAAGTCAAAATGTATATGCTGTGTGGATTTTCACAGCTCTGTCTCCGTTATGCCTGGAAGCCACTGAAGACACTGCCGTTCCTACATTGCACTCTCATCCTCACCATCATTCAGGGACGCTCAACGGACGCTCAACGGATGCTCACTGCTGACGCGCTGGCCGGGGGGCTGCCCAACGCTAATGAGAACACTTGAGCCAGCAAGCCACTCGTGGTAAGCACAAGCAGGAAAAGACAAGAATGTTTCTTTTCCCCCTTAACTTCTAGTTTTCAACAAAACCCAATTTAAGGACCTGGCCGATTTGGATTCATGAAAGTACAGCAAAAATCCCTGTCTCACCCCAAAAGTATGGCCCCCGGGCACCCTTTTAGCGCAGTGGTGAAGTCACTCCCGAGGTTCACCGTTCAGCCAGGGATTAGACAGCCCCATAAAACAAAACAGGACTAATGAGGCACAGCAGTCCAGGGACAAGGACTAGAAGGCAGAAGGGAACAGGAAAGCTGGTGATAGGGAACCCAAAGTTGAGTAAGGACAAGGTTGACATGTAGTGGGGTTCTTAACCATTGTCATAAGGCAATATGTGTACTAACTGTTTAATGAGAAACTATTTTGTTCTATAAACCTTCATCTAAAGTGAGAATAGCAGCACAACTGGAAGAATGTAATCGACATCACTGAATTGTGTATGTAGAAATTTTTGAAATGGTCTATCTTTGGTTATGTATACTTTCACCAAAAAAAGAAAAAAGGTCCTCCAAGGCCGAGAAGGGAGCATGTTGACACGTCGTGGGGTTGTTAACCAATGTCATAAAACAATATGTGTACTGGCCGTTTAATGAGAAAGTACTTGTTCTGCAAACCTTCACCTGAAGTACAATTTAAAAAAAAATCCCTATGTCTCAGAGAAAGTGCTTATCAAACTTGAGCAATGAAAAAACTTTTAAAGAGAAACGTTTCCTCGGACCCATAGTGCTGACCAGTTATTTTTATCATGTTGTTGTCAGATGCCTTCGAGTTGGCTCGGTCGCACGGCGGCCTATGTACATGAAACCTGGGAGAGCCGGAACCTGCCAGGATGGTCTTGGTTTTTCCAGGTCTCGTAAGTTTTCCACCTCTGACAGGGCAGAAAACTTTTCTATAGCTCATTTTAGTGGAAAATATTTTCGTTTTCCTTCTCTGACAGATTTCCGCCTTACACAGGTTCTGGCTTTCACAGGTTTTACTGTACCTGTCCCCAGCGTATGATGTATTGAAGTTATGGAGAACCACACTTACTGAACTGCACTTACAACCATCTTTGTTTTTTTTTTTTTGGTACTCCATACAATGTTGTAGCGCGGAATTTGCCGATGTTAGCGTTCTCAGATGTTTATATGTAATGTTTCCAACACACAAGGACAAATAAAGAATGGGCTTATAAAGATACTGATAATGAAAGGCAATAATAATGAAAACTGAAAAAACAAAGGTGTTCAACTTACATCTGAACTGACTTAAGACAGAGAAGTCAGAACGGAACCCCATCTCAAGTCGGGGACTACCTGTATAACAGAACGAACGTTCCCCAGCCCTGTGCCATCTTCATGATCATTGATATTTTTATTATAACGTTACTTAGATATGTTCAAATTAGGTGAACATTCACACAATGATAAAACCAAAACAAATTTGCAAATTAAGCAAACAATCAAATTCAGCAACACAGGCTTAGTGGGAAGGAAGGCAATGTGCTGAGAACAAATCTCCCTCTGACATGACTTCAGAGGGCCCGGCAGGCACGGCTGCAGCCTCCAAACCTGGCCGCCCACACTTCAGGACGCTGCTGGATGCCTCACCACGCCCACCACAGTGCTCTATTTAAATCGTCATTCCTACAGCTCCCTGCAAAGTCACTCACTTGGCCTATACTGGGCTCAAACACTTCATTTACATATTAATTCCACCTCTACTCTTTTTGTATTTGCTTTCAACCATTAAAACAGTATTATCTGCTGTCCACAAAATAAGCACAAAAGCAAACCACGCACTGGAATGTCTGATTATACTTAGCCATAAATATAACGGGTAGCCAGTTGATCTTAAATGCTTATTTTTTTATTATCAAAATAAAAGCATAAAATTAACCAATCCCTGTAAGAGAACTAAAGGACAGCAGTTTGAAAAACTAGAAGTATACACATCTTTAAGTAGATCTTTGCGCTTGTCTTTGTCGATAAACCCTGAAGGTCAAAGTCTTAACGTGCCACAATCACTTAAGCCCTTGGCAAATAAGAACTCGTGCAGTGCTACGCAACGGTTCACTTCTCTTCGTTTTCCACGTGCTTAATTTTATATTTAAAGCCGTCACATGATGGATGAAAGGATCCAGTGGAATCCAAACCATGCCATGATTTTCAAAAACCATTCCCCAACCCATGGATTTTTGTCCAGTAAAGAGGAAACTGAGAATAAATGTATCTATGACAACAAAACAGCAATCCGGCATGTTCCCCTTCAAATCCAGTTGGATCTGGCAGAATACTGTTTTACTTTCCACAGTGTAAAAAATAAATTCGTGGACTTCAGAAAAGCATTTGGTGTTCCAGGGAACTGCAGCTGTCAGCTTTTAAAGAGGCCATGTGTTTGCCCACATAGAGAATGCAGTGAGCTATGGAAATATTATCTGGTCTCAAGAACCAGAATACAAACTCTAGAGAGTCAGCAGGCTGATAGCATGAGTTGATTAAATCCACGAGTAAAATATCTATCATGTAAAAACAAAAACCCAAAACCAAACCCGTTGCCGTTGAGTTGATTCTGACTCATAGCAACCCTACAGGACAGAGTAGAACTGCCCCATAGTGTTTCCAAGGAGCAGCTGGTGGATTTGAACTGCCGACCTTTTGGTTAGCAGCCAACCTCTTAGCCACTGCATCATTATTAAATGCCTATACTACAAGTTATAACGGACCTCGAAGCACTTGTGATTTAAAACACACTCAGAAAAACAAAAGGGAATCTGCCCTGACTTGAACATTAACAGTGGGGTGGGGTCGTCTGCACAAATATCTTCTCTACCACCTCCATTCCCTTAGAGCTGTCGTTGCTGGGTGCCATCGAGTCTATTCCAACTCATAGCAGCCCCATGTGACAGAGTAGAACTGTCCCACAGGGTTTCCTAGGCTGTAATCTTTATAGGAGCAGATCACCAGGTCTTTTCTACAGCAAATCGGCTGGTGGTTCAAACCGCGGGCCTTTCGGTTAGCAGCCAAGTGCTTAACCATTGCGCCACCAGGGCTCCATCCCCTTAGAGCAGACTCCCCCTTCTACTTCAGTGGATGCCCACTCAGCTCATCATTCTATCCCTGCTTCTAGATGTTGTTCTTCCTTCACTAGGAAGCTAACAGCAATGGCAATCATGAAATGTATACACTGATTAGATGTAATACAATATAGTGGTTGAATTCCTCAAGGAACTTGTCTTTTTGTTCTGGAATCTACAAAAGACAAAAAAATAAATGTAGAGAGATATGTGGTTTTTGGCTGACAGTACAATCAAAAACTAGATTTTAAAAATGCACAGTATAAATCTACTCTACCTAAAAATTAGCAGCTGAAGTCATACAAATCATTCAGACAAGTTCAGAGAAACACGCTTGATAACTAACTTCAGCGTCATTAAATGAGGAACAGCAGTCTGCAGAAGCACACAAAGCAGAGAGTCTCCTCTGAGTATATGTTAGGTCTTTCAAAAGAAAGCATAATTTAATAATAGAGCGTCTCTTGTTAAAGAATGACTTAGGAATTAAAATTGGAACCATTATTCCCTGTCCTTGAGTATAAAGAATATGACCCAGCTGGAGTGACAAGGACATACAAGGACACATCACCTGGGCCCTGAGGTATAAAACCAATAGCTGGGACAATCTTAAAAGGAAATCTTTCACATAAACAAATACCCCTGGTGGTTAAGAGATCGGCTGCTAACCGAAAGATGAGCTGTCTGAATGCACCAGCCGCTGCTCCGACCCTGAGGCAGTTCTGCTCTGTCCTACAGGAGCTACGAAATCAACAGGTTTCGGTTTAGATAGAGCACAGAACACCCACATATTTTCCACTCTTATCTTTTTCTAGTAGCATTTAGTAAATAGTAAGATTTGTTGGACCAATGAAGACCCTCCTGACTGTTGTTACTGAAACTGTGTACCAATGATTATTAAACCAAGACAATTCAAAATGTAGAATCACGGTGATTTGGCAGTTTTCCGCCAATCTGTGAAAAGGAGAAGCTTTTAATGATTTTTGACCCGTTCGTTATATCTATATATACTGATAATTCTATAACGTCCCTCGGACTCAGAAGGATGTAGCTCTGGCAGCATGCTTGTCCACTTCTTACTTTTGCCTCTTGGAACACATGCCAAACAAAATCTTTCTTCTTGCTTTATTCTAACTTTGTGGTGATTTTACCCTATGACAAGAATTCATTCCTTTGGAAAAAAAAAAAATAACTGAAACCAACTTCCTTTCTTCCTATTCAATTCACCTCAAATTCAAGTTAAGGCGTGCTAAACCACTGTTCTCGGAGCCCTGGCGGCGCAGTGGTTAAGAGCTATGACTGCGAGCCAAAAGGCTGGCAGTTCGAATCCACCAGCCGCTCCTTGGAAACCCTATGGGGCAGTTCTGTTCTGTCCTGTAGGGTCGCTATGAGTCAGAGTCGACGCAATGGCTACAGGTTTGGTTTTGGGTTAGACCACTGTTCTCAAACCTGAGCCTGCATGAGAATCACCTGGAGGGCTTGTTAAAACAGAGATGCCTGGGCTCTGCCCTCAGCTTCTGGTTCCGTAGAGAATCAGAATTTAGAATTACAGTAAAACTTGCGAAATCCGGAACCAGCGTAAGGCGAAAACCTGTCACAGAAAAAAAACTTAAACACAGTGAAACCTGTGAAAGCCAGAACTCACCGGGACTGCCTTGCTTTTCCAGGTCTTGCAAGGTGTCCACCTTCGACAGGGTGCAGTCTTACCACTTCCCTACTGCTCTTTTTAGTGGAAAATATTTGCATTTTCCTTCTCTGACAGGTTTCTGCCTTATACGGGTCCAGCTTTCGCAGGTTTACTGTATTTCCCACTAATAGAGCAACCAAGACTGCACCCTGTCAAAGGCGCGAAAACTTGTGAGACCCGGAGAAACAAGGAAGTCCCGTCGAGTTCCGGCTCTCACGGGTTCACTGTATTAGAATGTGTGCTCTAAACCACTTGTGTCTTAAGAAAATTCAAATGAAAGGTAACAGGTGTTTGGGGAAGAGCTTCCTAAATATCTGTAACATAAATCCTGTAATAAAACCAAACAAATCAATTTACTTTTTAAAATACTGCACGGACCTTGGAGCTTTTAGTTCTGGCCTTGGATTTTCATACATACACAGATATTAAACTAGGAAAAAGAAACACACACATTTGATGATTAAAACTCCCTAATGTTACAGAATAACTTTCTCATTAAGAAAAAAGAATCATGTACTAGCCAACTTCTCAGGATGGAACTTGCAAAGATCTCAAAAAGGAAATGACATTACCATTCTACTAGGGTCAAGAATTTTACTTTAAAATAAACTCTGTGTTCTGCAGGAGAACCACAGGAACGACATCTTTGTATATAATTGGTGTTCATCACTATGGGACAAAACCCATTCAAAACAGCAAGTGATGCGTGAACCAGGACACACTTTCAGTCAACTATAGTAATTACAAGCTTCAGTTCGCTGAACATAAACTCTATTTCACTCACAAAACATGACATAAGCAGACATAGTAAACACCTAAACCCCTCCACCAAAAGAATATGCCCCAGTGTTCCAAAACTGTCATTACTAGAAGTGGAAGTAACACAGGGAAACATAAGCATACATTCCTAGACTCACTTATTCATTAAACAAATCTATCTGTACCTGAGGACTTCACGTATCTCAGAATAAAAAGCGAAATGACTTTATTTCCGTGCTTGAGAGGGAGCCTACCGTGGCTAGGCAGTGACAGGTATGTGACAGAGGGCCCTCCAGCAGCCATCGGAGCACAGAGGGAACTCCGACTAGGAGCAACTGAATCCTTTATGGACCAGTTAGGGCCAGCCAAGTAAGAAGAGGGGACAGTGTACCCCAGGCAGGCGTGACCAAAGGCACCAAGGCCATGAAACAGTACAACTGCTGTTGTTGTTAGGTGCCGTCAAGTCAATTCTGACTCATAGCAACCTCATGTGACAGAGCGGAACTGCCCCACAGGGTTTCCTAGGCTGTAATCTTTATGGAAGCAGGCTGCCACATCTTTCTCCCTCAAAATGGCTGGTCGGTTCGAACCACCTAACTTTCAGTTAGCAGTCAAGCGGTTAACCACTGAGCCACCAGGGCTCCGTTTACAGTATGATTAGGTAACTGCAAATGATTCCACATAACTAGGTGGCGTGTATGTGGGAGACTCTCATGTGGAGATGAGGCCACATACGCAGGAGGCAGACGAGGAAGGGCTCTGAGTACCAAACTAAAGAATCTGAACTTCATCTTGAAGGTGAGGGGCAGCCACTGAAGAAGGTTAAACCAGCAAGTGGCACAGTTCCACTTACAATTCAGAGGTCTCTCTGTACTGAGACAGGAGGGAGGAGGGTGAGATGGGCTTGGGACTCAGTGACCAGAGGCCAGTGCAGGGACCCACCATGAAGTGACGAGGAATGAGCTGAGGCAGGGGCAGATCCAAAAATGATGGAGGAGGCAGCCTGGACAGGCCAGGACCTGGTCACCCATGAGACAGAGGGATAAGGAGGGAGTGGGCGAGGATGCTCAGGGGTCCAGTCACCCATGAAATGGAAGGCTGAGGAGGGAATGGGCAGGTAGGCTCAGGTCCAGTCACCCACGAGGTGGAGGGCTGAGGAGGGAGTGGGCAGGGAGGCCCAGGGGTCCAGTCACCCACGAGGTGGAGGGCTGAGGAGGGAGTGGGCAGGTAGGCCCAGGGGTCCAGTCACCCATGAGGTGGAGGGCTGAGGAGGAAGTGGGCAGGCAGGCCCAGGGGTCCAGTCACCCACGAGGTGGAGGGCTGAGGAGGGAGTGGGCAGGCAGGCCCAGGGGTCCAGTCACCCACGAGGTGGAGGACTGAGGAGGGAATGGGCAAGGATGATCAGGGGTCCAGTCACCCACGAAATGGAAGGCTGAGGAGGGAGTGGGCAGGGAGGCCCAGGGGTCCAGTCACCCACGAGGTGGAGGGTTGAGGAGGGAGTGGGCAGGGAGGCCCAGGGGTCCGGTGTGGATAGGGAGGTGGTGATGCCAGCTTCAGAGGGAAAGAGAGAGCTTCTGAGTGTCGTTTTACTGGGTTGGGTTTTGTGTGTTGGTTTTCCTGCTGCGGTGTGTGGTCTTTGTGCTGGCGGTGGGAGGGAGAGTTCTCTTTCAGATGTACCAAGTCTGCCTTGGAAGAGTCAAATGGAGATGTCCAGCAGGCAGCAGCTGAGAGTCTGGAAGCTCCTAAATGAGTCTAGGCTGAAGAGAAAGCTTTGAGGCCACCAGTCCGTAAGCAGAGTGAAGCCACAGGATGTCAGGAGAGAGATATGAATAGATATTTCTAAAACAGCATTAACTACTCATTCAAACAACCCCCATTATGGTCAGAAAACACAAAACAGCAAAACAAGGGACGGTCAGAGAAAGAGTCCAGTGGTGCCCAGGAAGGCAAGGAGGTGGGTGAGATGGGGAGGAAGGAAGAGCAGAAGGGAGGGCCGGAGTCCAGGGAAAGGAAGGGGCTAAGCAGGCAGGCCTAGAGTCAAGTAGGCAAGACCTTCACAGGCTGGGCGTGTCAGTAGCTCAAGGGGCGCCTATGAGCACACTAAAGCAAAACAAGGCAGTACAGACCTATGGAACACTGAGGAGCCATTTCTGAACGGAAGCTGGGTTCCCTGCACTGGAAGACTCATACAGCGATTACCTCATACAGAGCAATACTCAATTATACTCAATTACACATAAAGACTGTTCTTAAAAAGGCTAGCACTCCTGACATCAAATTGTACTTTTCACGAATATTACAATGAAACGTATGCTTTCCTTCTGTTACAGCGTGTAAAATTATTCCACTAGAGATACGCTAAGCTGTCGGTTCTACTCTAATATAGGCTTCACCATCAAAAAAGAAGGATCGACTATAACCCCTGCCAACCAAAACCTGCTCTACAGTGACCTTCTGACCAGCCTGGTGCCCCTATCCAAGGTTCTGAGGAAAGAGACCTCTCCCGCCACCCTCCTTGGGGACCACCAGCCGGCCCTTCGCCTAAGCACGCACAGCATGTGCTCTGTATAAACCCTCCCGCTCAGTCTCTTCCAATAAAGTAATCCTTTCACAGTTCAACGGCTTCCTGTGCGAACTATTAGGACAAATTCGGTGGGTCAAAAAATAATTATAAATAGAAAGACCCAGTTTAATTTGGGAAAAAATATTCTGCACTTTATCTGCAACTCAAAATTACCTATGAAAATCACAGGGCCAGAAGGGGAGCTGCCTGGTGTAGCCATTAGCCCCCATCTCCATCAGCGCACATTTAAACGGAGCTGCCACAAAGTGCCTCACTGCCGGATTTCAGCTCGGCGTCTTCCTCGTGTGCTTACCTGCTGTAACGAACAATTAAATCACCAAAGGATGAAGGTAGTTTTACAGGACAAATGATCCAGTTTCTGTAACATATCAATGGCATGAAAGAAAACAAAAGTAAGGGGGAACGTTGGAGAATAAAGGAGACTTCAGAAACGGAATAGCTGAATGCCAGGGAGGATCTTGGTTTCATTTGGAGCAGGATCCAAACGACTTATAAAAAGACACTTTTTTTTTTTAAAGACAATTGGGAAAATCTGAACACGGATGCAGTATTAGATGATATCAAGGAATTATTAGTGATTTTGTTAGTGTCATAATGGCATGTTGATTATGCTTTAACAAAAGGTCCTTAATGTTCCAGATACACGCTTAAGCATTCATGAATGAATTAATAAGACGTCTGAAATCTGCTTTAAATACACACCAGAAAACAGTTAAGAGAGCAGATGAAACAAGACTGGCAAAACGTTGATAACAGGGGAGCTGAGTGATGGGTATATTACATGGAAACTTATTATATCATTCTCTACTTATATAGGCTTGAAATTTTCTACAATACAAAGTTTGAGGGTTTTGTTTGTTTGTTTTTACAGAAATGGTCAAGGTGAATCAGAGAGGAAAGGAGCTGAATTTGATCCTGCTTTATTTCTTCTTAAAATATTTTCCTACTGCACCACAACTTCCTTCCACCTAGCATGTTAAAAATAATCCAGGATGCGTCACGCGCTGGGGAGACTGGGAGTGACGGGGGGAACTGCTGGATCTGTACAAGCGGCTTTTAATTGGAGCACGCTAGAACTGTCCATTTTCAAAGCCAAGTAAAGTTGAGTGACTGCACCCAGCCTCGACTAAGAACTCACACTGCGACGTTCAAAAACGTCCTGAGATGAGTATAACCCCCACTACAAACTGACCGGGGCCCCTACAGACTGCCAGAGAAAGGGGACGTTTGTCTCCACTCCCAGACGTGAAGAAAATCAGGTTTTAGGTCATCGACCCTGAATGCAAGCTGCTTATTCATTTGCATAAAAATGAACTCTGGTGCATATTAGGCCGCTTGAAGATCTAACAATACCCGTATTAGTGAAAAAGATGTATTTCCGTATCACATTTAAGCATCAGAAACTTGGTAACAAGAGTCAGTCAGAAATACAAAAGGTGCAGGGATGAATTCTAAGATGAGAGGAAGAGGATGTGCTTCGAAACGGAATGAAAATATTTCATAATAACTGAAATAATATTGAAAACCTGATATGAATGGGACTCTTGCATCAGAGAAAACAACAAACTTAGACAAAAGAGGGGCAGCGGCTCCAAACCTCTTCAGACCAGGGAGGCACGGGGAAGGGCTGGGGCTTCAGCGGGCAGCTCCTCTACCCCCACCAGCCAGCCGGAGCACTGCACAGGGGACAGCTTGTCCCAGGAGGTGCCCTGCCCCTTGGCTTTCTGCACACCTCACACAGACATGACTGAGAGCAGGCTCACCTCACACTGTAGTAAGACACAAGTCTACCTCAAACCAAAAAAACCCACTGCCATCGAGTCAATTCTGACTCATGGCGACCCCACAGGACACAGCAGAACTGCCCCATAGGGTTTCCAAGGATGTAATCTTTATGGAAGCAGACTGCCACATCTCTCTCCCGTGGAGCAGCTGGTCGGTTTGAACACTTAACCACTGTGCCACCGGGGCTTCTTAAGTCTACCCCAGCTCCACATTCCTCCCTAGCTGTTTCCAAATACAAAATGTGAATGGATAAAATAAAAAATATAAATACAAATGCCCATTTGATCTAACAGACAAACACAATCATACCAGAGTCATTCACTTAAACCGACTCACTTCACCTCCCACCTGGAAGGGGGCAAAGGGCTGCACGTGAGGAAGAGGGGAGGGAGGACGGGACTTTTCCCAGGCCCTGCCTAGCTCACACTCACACCTGTGCTCTAACGCCATGGTGTCCTCACAGCAGTCCTAGGCTGCCAGCTGGCCTGGGTTACAGAGCTAGCCTGCTGTACCTAGTCGCGCAGCCAATCTCTTTCTCACCCTTTCATCCTCTCGTCTTAGTGGGAAGAAGAGGAGGTAACTGAGAGGAGGCCTATAAAACAAGAGAAGGAAACAAAAAAATAAAACAAGTGACTGAGGAGAGCAAAAACAAACTTTGTTGTTGTAGTGAGCCATTTAATCCATAACTGTACACTGGCAAATAGGTTTTTTTGGTTATTCAATCTGTAAAAATACACCACTTAAACTGTTTTATGATGTCTGCCGACACGGTTTTGTATAATTTATGAGAATGTACCAAAAAAAAAAAAAAAGTTAGCCAATTTCATCACAAAAGGCTTTGCTCCTAGGGGACCCACAGGCTAATTAAAGGATCCGAGCGTGTCACCTCTTTCCTGTGGAGAAAACAGAGGTTCCTTGACTGAAAACAGTATCAGTTATATTTCAGATCTGAGTTTCTATCAAATCCACTTGCCAAAAATGAGCGAAGTCGCTGGCATCTTTAGAGGCATCAGGGAAATGTGACAGGGCTTGGGTCTCAAAAGATCAATCAGATTTGAAGAGACAGACAGGGAGAAGACAAACATTTAAGGCAAAGTAATTCACAAAAGAAAGAGGGACAGGAAAAGGCACCGCATGTGGCAGGACGGAAACGGCTTTCCAAGTCCATGTCGGGAAGTTTCCATAATTTACGAAACAAGGTTAAACAGGTCGGGTAGGACCCAGTCACGAAGCACCGGGAAGAAGGAGCAAAGGGATTTAGAAGAGATGGAACAGATAAAGGGAAACAGCTCCAACAGAGGACCGACAACATGAAAACAGTGCCTGGCCTTAGACCGCAGGACGACCGCAAGGTAAGTGTGAAAACAAACAAGTCAACTTTGCTGTTCCTCCAGAGAAAAGGATTTGGGCCAGCAGCAATGGCGGGGCTGGGGAGGAGGGGCAGAAGCGCGCCATCTAGCGGCTGTGCCTGCTGAGGGGTAGAGAGGATAAAGGGGGTCTGGGAGGAAGACGGTATTGTTGAGGAAAACAGGGGAACAGGGATGGGTGGGTGGGTGAAGACAGGAAAGAATGATTTGAACCATGGTCTTGGGGAACATCTAGGTCAATTGGCATAACACAGTTTATAAAGACAATGTTCTACATTCGACCTTGGTGAGTAGCGTCTAGGGTCTTAAAAGCCTGTAAGCAGCCATCTAAGATACTCCACTGGTCTCACCCCTTTGGGAGCAAGGGAGAATGAAGAGAGCAAGATACAGGGAAAAGATAAGTCCAAAGGACTAACAGACCATATCTACCACGACCTCCATCAGACTGAGTTCAGTACAGCTAGATGGTGCCCGACTACCACCACTGACTGCTCTGACAGGGATCACAACAGAGGGTCCCGGACAGAACTGGAGAAAAATGTACAACAAAATTCTAACGCACAAAAAAAGACAAGACTTACTGGCCTGACAGAGACTAGAGAAACCCCGAGAGTATGGCCACCGGACACCCGTTTAGCTCAGTAATGAAGTCACTCCCGAGGTTCACCCTTCAGCCAAAGATTAGACAGGCCCATAAAACAAAACAAGACTAATAGGGTACACCAGTCCAGGGGCGAGGACTAGAAGGCAGGAGGGGACAGGAAAGGTGGTGATAGGGAACCCAAGGTTGAGAAGGGACAGTGTTAACATGTCGTGGGGTTGGTCACCATTGTCATAAAACAATATGTGTACTAACTGTGTATGAGAAACTATTTGTTCTGTAAAGCTTCATCTAAAGTACAATTAAACAAATAAATAAAAATGAGAGGAATAAGAAGGAAAAAAAAAAAAGAGAATGATTTGACCAAACATGCTGTGATAATGAGAAGCTGAAGTAGAAATGGGTTACCATTTCTCGGTTGTTACAGAAAGCAGTGGAGTCTCTTCTATCGTCTGTTTCAACTAGTCAAAATGATAGCTCTCCTCACAGAAAAAGGATCCCGGAGACCAAGTCACAGCCTGTCTTCCAACTATTACCAGAAGACGAGTTCCCGTGCTTTTCCTTCTCTTACACAATTCTGGGTGCGAGCGTCTAACCCATCCTCCCCCATACTGCCCCCCACGACGCTCTTCCAGGCATCCTCTCACCTCCTGTGTTTTTCCTTTGGATCCTTTACTGAAGGGCCATTAACAACAGGGGCGGGGGATGCACCCGAAATCCTTTAAAACTTGTGTTTTACCTCAGAAATCTCAAAAAGCAGCACTCCAACCCAAGTCTGTCAGAATGGCCTCCCACTCCCAGTCCTTTTCAGCGGGCTCCTACGTGAGACCAGAAATCCTTTAAGCACCATCAACTGGTGTGGCGTCCTTCACAGGTGACTTTCTCCTCCCCAGAAGCCAGGCAGAGTTGCCCCAGGAAATGTCTTAGGGTGAGACCTGGGAGCGTTGAAGACATCTTCATGGAAAAGAACCTTCATGAAATGTTGGAGGATAACACTACCTGGAAGGCGGCATGGTATGACAGAAAGAACACTAGACTCACGAATCAGAAGATCTCTACCACTAATTAACAGTGGATGCTTAACTTCTGAGTCTCAGATTCCTCACCCTTGAAACGGGGTGGGGTGAGGTGATTTCTGCAACTCACCGAATTCTAACGTTGCGATTCTGGGTTAATCTAACAAAGTAACACCCACGAAATTTCACGAATACCTGCCAAAAAACTTTTGCTTGTTTAAATACCATTTTTAATTCAAATGAGTTACTGAGAGTATTAACAGGATTTCTTGATGCAACCAGTATTTAAAATGTGTTGCTGTCCAGTTGATTACCCCATGTATTAAAGAGCAGAACTGAGTTCCATAGGGTTTTTTCCTTGGATATAATCTTAAAGGAAGAAGATAACCAGGTCTTTCCTTTCATAGTGCTGCGGGGTGGGTCTGAACCACCAACCTTTCTGTAACCAGTATAATGATCCAAAACAAATGATAACCTTCCATTTAATCAATTGAAAAGCAATGTATCTATTTGACACCCACTCTATCTAAACAATTTTCTGGCAATATTAAATTACAATAAAACTCTTGGTTAAAAAAAACACACACACATTGCCCCATAGCATTGCCAAGGCTGTAATCTTTACAGAAGCAGACTGCCACATCTTTCTCTTCCAGAGTGGTTGGTGGGTTTGAACTGCCAACATTTAAGTTAGCAGCCGAGTACTTTAACCACTGCGCCACCAAGGCTCCTAAAACAAACTAGGGCATTAAGTTGAGTGAGTGGCATTTTTTCCAAGTCTTTCTCCTTACCAAAAAAAAAAACCCAAACCCGTTGCCATCAAGTCGATTCCAACTCATAGCGACCCTATAGGACAGAGCAGAACTGCCCCATAGGGTTTCCAAGGAGTGCCTGGTGGATTCAAACTGCCAACTTTTTGGTTAGCAGCCGTAGCTCTTAATCACTACACCACCAGGGTTTCCTTTCTCCTCACAGGACCCTGTAAATTAGAACTTGAATCTACCTACCGATGACCTCATATCCATCACTTGCCACTCTTTCGACATGGTCACGTACTGTGATTATTGAAGCATATTCACCTTTTGAGATTCTCACAAACATTTAAGTGAATCTATTAGTCCTGTTAGAACTGTCCTGGAAGAAATACAGCCAGAAAGCTCCTTAGTAGCAAGGATGGCGAGACTATGTCTCACATACTTTGGACATGTTATCAGGAGAAATCAGTTCCTGGAGAAGGACATCATGCTTGGTAAAGTAGAGGGTCAGCGAAAAAGAGGAAGACCATCAATGAGATGAACTGACACAGTGGCTGCAACAGTGGGCTCAAACATAACAACGATTGTGAGGACGGTGCAGGACCAGGCAGTGTTTCATTGTGCCATACATACGGTCGCCGTGAGCCGGAACCAACTTGACAGCACCTAACATGAGTCCTGTTCTTGCCTTAACTGTATACCAGTGTGAACTGAAAGGACGTTTTCAGAGCAACTCTAGTATTCATTGTTTTATCTCAACAAGAAAAAAATGAAATAAGGTAAATACTGGGGATTTTATGTCATACAATTACAGTCAGCAAAAGGGGCAAATGACATCATATAAAAACCACTAAAGACTTAACAAACATTCTAGTTTCTATATAATTCTGAAAGGAAAAAGGTAACCTATTTCATTTTCAGATTTAAAAATATTTCCTAACAACTCAAAAAAAAAAAAAAAATTAACCACTGCTTCAAAAGGTGATATAATTTTAAAAGACTGGGGGAGAATGTGGCTCAGAATAATCTGAATTTCAAGATCTTCTGTAAAACCATTAATAAAACTGGCAAGAGGCAAACTCACAATTCTGAAAATAAGGAAGTTTCAGCATTAGCCAATCAAAACGCCTCTTTATTAAATCTAGTGCTTGGAGAAGAGATCACTTTTGCCTCAAACTATCGGTGTTGCATCAAGCTTTCTAAATCATACCTAATGTTTCGGAAACGTAACACAGTGAAACCTGGGAGAGCTGGAACTCGACGGGACTGCCTTGGTTTTCCGTCCTTTGACAGGGTGCAGGCTTACCCCTTTTCTATCGCTTGTTTTAGCGGAAAATCTTTGCATTTTCCTTCTCTGACAGGTTTCCACCTTACACGGGTTCCGGCTCTCGCAGGTTTTGCTGTACAAGTCATAGTGCTGTCCCCGCCCTCTGCCCACAGCCCCTCGGTGAGGCAGTGGCTTTGCTTCATACAAGGCTGCCTTTCTGCTCCCACTCTCGCCCCCATCCCCACCCACCCCGCTATTCACCCCCCAACTCCCACCAGTCCAGCCACGTGAACCAGAGTGAGGCTAGCGGCCCTAGGGCAGACCACCCACAGCTGGTGAACAGCCTACATCCCAGGTCCAGAGGGAAAAGATGAACCAGATCAAACTTCTCTGACCGAAGAAATGTGGTAAGAATTGGTCACTCAGAAATGGAAAGAACGCAACGAGAAATGCCATCCAGTTGAACTGGGGTCAGAGGGGCTCTGGTCAGCCGAAAAAGCACTTGTGAACGGAGGCCATGGAGTGGGGAAGACTCCAGCTGGTGGTGGACAGGGAGTCTCGCACACCCAGAGCCAGGCAGTCACATGGGGTGCAGTTCTAGGGACACCTGCCGCCGGGGCCCCAGACCCCCCGGGAAGCACCCTCCAGGCCAGGCTCGTGGAGTCAGCCATCCCAGCTCCCGTTCGTGGGTTTCTGTGTGATTCTACGTCGCACCACTAGTAAACTTCCCAGGCTGCAACGGGGCTTCGCTCCGTACCCACCAAAAGCCAGTCTAGCACACATAACATGCAAACACATACCATGCAAATCAGAGGCTATGTCATGTGATGACAAGTCTTTCCCAAACTCACAAACCTAAATACTGATCAGTCCCAGCGAAACAAACTTTAAGGAGAAAACAAACTAGAAAACATAGCCCTGCCTTCCCCTCACCCCTGACGGGGAAGGGGCATAGGGAACGTTCTGCGGTCATGGAGAAAAACGGTCTGCATCTCTACGTCCGCCGTCCGTCACTCCCGTAACTGATTCTGTCAACACCAGTCAACCTGACACCCACATGTGGCTGTTTACGTATGTAAATTACAACCCAATTAAAAAACAAAAACAAAACTCTAAATCCAAACTACTCCTTGAGAGGACCATGTTTTTGTTTTTAAACTATATATACATTTTTAAACTGTAGTTGTTTTTTTTTAACCATACTGACCTGGATAAATCTCACACACACAATGTTGAGCAGCAGCCAGACCCAAGACTACCAACTGGACCTGTGCTTCTATTTAAAGAAGAGACATGGGTAACGTTCATCTCAGGGGCGGGAAGTCAGGAAGCGGCCCCCTTCGAGAGGGGTGAGAGTTGGCACCGAAAGGGACCCAGGGGACTTCTGGTGGCGCTGCTCACGGTCTCCTTCTTGCTCCAGGTGCCAGCACCACAGGCATATTCGGTTGGAAATATTTCCATCAGAATGTATGTTTCCGATAGCGGCACTTTTCCGCACATGTATTATACTCTAATAGTAACAGGCAAGGGCAGGGGAGAGAAGAAAGGCCCTACACTGATCTAAAAGTGACTGGAAAAAGATTTTTGTGGTTGTTTTCTTGTTTTGTTTTGCATCTAGTGAAATGCTCATTTCTTCAGGTAAATAAGAAAGAAATTAAGATTTTAGTTATCCCATCTGTGGAATTCTAGTATGATTTGTAAATGTGATATAAGGGGAAAAAATTTATTTCAACGAAATCACTTGAATAATAAGTTAAACTCCAGCCTATGGTGTTCAGTTCTGAGACTACCTGAAGTAAGTCCACCCATGCCCACAGCACCCTTCGGAACAGACAGGAGAGGCAGGGAGGAAACTACACTCCACACCCCTTTTCTACTTCAACCAAAAAAAACCTACGAAATCCCAAGGCAGAAGTATTTAGCCAGAATCACACCCCTGTGTTTTCAAAGGGAGAATTTTAACTCAGCTTCCTACACTTCCCTAAGTGCATTTTAAAAAAACAAATGTGCAGATTGGATTTTCAGGAGCTTATAATTTGAAAACATTTCACAGACTCTAGAGAAGGTTCACAAGCATAAAAACAGCAAGTCAAAGAGAAGTGAGGGAGACAAACAATAAGATAAACATCGATTTATAGATCATCCACCTCAAACACAAAAGCAGCAGCCAGGGAGTAAACTGAAAAGTACTTACAGCCATGATTAATTCAAAGGGGTGTTTATAGACCCGCACCGGCGATTGGTATTTTTGCACCATGATCGTAACAGAACAGCAATCCTCTCACACCTGCAAAACATAAACAAACGGGGTACAGGCCATGATGGGGGGAATTAAGTCTGTACTGACACATACCCAAAGCTGAAGGTAGAAAGGGACCTCAATAGGTCATAATTCTATGCACACAAAAATCACCAAATACTTAAATGCAAGGGTGAGGGAGGTAATAACACAGTAAGAAAAGGTGAAGAAAGACGCCAGCCCTGCCACCAGCAAACTGGGGACCCCACCCCTCCTCCGCATCCCTGCGCCTCTCAAGTGGCTGCGCCAGGTTAGACGGCCTCTGAGTTCTTTTTAGCTCTGAAATGCTGTGATTCAACAACTCTGATAACCAAGAGAAGTAGTTCTTGAATCGTTCTCTTCAACGAGAGAACAAATAAAAACACGTTAAGGTATCAGGCCTGGAGATACACAAAAAACAAAAGTGGGAAAAAATAACTACTGCATCTCAAATCCTCCCCCGAAAACTTGTTATAAAGAAAACTTTCATCAAACCCTGTTTTCTAACTGTACACTGTGATCTCAGCGAACTATCTCCAAATGGCAGCAGTGCCAAGCGCTCTGGCAGAAGACGCTCGGCTGAAATCCCCAGCTGCACTATCAGCAGACCACACATTCAACACTGGAGCCTGATCCTCGTCCAGGGGTCCTGCTGCGAGGCACATAATCTCCCTCTACTTTAAGCACTCAGCCCAAGCCTACGTGGACTTCTCTAAACACACACTGGGAGTCCCGGTGTGACTATTTACTTCCCTATTTAAAAGTGAGGAAGAAAAATAAATCTAATGAGTCTACTTGTTCTGCCAAGGATGATCCGTAAGAATGTTAGTTTATGCTGAAAGTTGGCAAGAGGATATTCAAAAGTCCAAAATGGAACATCCTCAAGGAGTCCAAAGACTCACTATACAAGAAAAAAAGTTTACAAAGATGTATTTTATTTCAGAAAAGCGCTACCTACATTACTACATTTACACAGGTCTGAAACGTCCTAGGGTATGTCGTGTTCAGCACACCTCGCAGAAGGAACAGGTTAATGTGGAAACTGCAACTGGGCTGAAACTGTTACGGACTGACTGGGTGACCTTCAGCAAGTCACCTGACTTCCCTGGGACTCAGTTTCATCTCCGTGAAAGGAGGTTTTGGGTGAGAGGATCTTGAAAGACACGTCTAAAATCACCAGCGTTAGAGACAAGCTCCTGAGTTCTTTTCGAAACTCAACTGAAGCCCTCGTTTAATCCTGACCGTGGGACTGCCTCGTCCTGGTGCGCTGGGACCATGTTCTATTGAGCGTTGCACACCTTACAACGCTGGCGCACCGTCGGTATCCAATAACCTTTAAAAAACTGAATTGGGAAAATTAATTTTAAGGTACCTACCTGATAAGGGGAGAGTGATTACCAGGTATAATAAAGGGGGGTGGGTGATGCAAAAAGTAAAGCGGAATGCTCCTCTAAGAAACGCTAACATCCCCTCGGGATTCCATGCCTGGCAGAACCCAAAGCGACTCCACTGAAGAACGTGCTTATTTCCGAGCTTCTGATCGCCTGTCACGCACCAGCTTCGGATGCTCTGGTCCAGATCAACGTCCTACCGGGGAATTCGGAGCTACAGCGGCCAAGTGGCATGCTGGACCAGGGCTGCCTCTATTGCATGACAATCGGCGTTTAAACACGAGCCAATGGCCGGACCAGTGAGTCCATCCCGAGCCGGATCGGGGGCGCCAGGCAGCGGGATCGGTCGGGGGAGGTGGGCTGGGGGCCGGCTCCGGACCCCAAACTCTGCTCCGGGGAGAGGGAAGCCAGGCGGGTGGGGCGGGTAGAGGGCGACCAGGAAAGTCCGGGAAGCGAGAGGGGGCGGCGGGCCCGAGCCCGGGGAGGGTGGGAGAGGCACTGGCTCCGGGCAGGCGCCCGGGGGAGCCGCAGAAGCCGGGGCGGCGGGCCGGGGGACGGCCCGAGAAGGTCCCGGGAGCCGGACCCGGCGGGCAAGGTCCGGGGACGCGGCTCGGACCCGCCGCGGCGACGCGCCTACCTCTTGTCAGAAAGGCCGGGCCCGGGGCGCGGGGCGGTGAGGGGTGCTCATGCCGGCGGCTCCGCGCTGCCGGCGCCGTTCCTCTGCTCAGTGCGGCCGCGGCTGGACCGCCGGTTCCGGGTAAGGGCCGGGGGCGGGAGCGCGAAGCGCAGAGGGGCGCGGCGAGGGCACGAGTGGTTGTTACGGGTGACGGCGGGGGCGGGGCCGAGGTGCCGGAAGGGGCGCGCATGCGCGGACGCGGTCCCGGCTGGCGGAGGCGGGAGCCGGTGACGGTTGCTAGGGAGGGGGGAGGTGGTGACAACCGGCGCTCTGCCCGAATTGCGCAGGCGCGAACTCCAGCCAAGGCGGGAGAAGGAGGAATCTGGAGAAGGCGTCGGCTGGCGCAAGGCCCTGGCTCCTCCCACTTCCTGCGTTCCGGGGCGGGGGCGGGGCGAGGGCGGGGTTCGCGAATAGCGGGCGGAGGGGGCGGGCGGCTCCAGACGGGCTGCGAGCTGGGGGATGCGCGCAGTTCCGCTGAATCGGAACAGGGAAGTGCACGGGGTGTCAAAATAACTGGGGGCCCTCCTGCTCTGCTGCGGGCCCCGGGATGGTGGTCAGGCTGTCTGCTCTGAGGCCCTGCCCGGCCAACCTTAGAGTTCCCCCTGGGCTTCCTCATTTTTTGTTGACTGCTCAGAAGCCCGCTTCCCCCTGCGGTGCCCTGACCGCATTCTCGCCGAGGAATGGCGATGAGGCAAACAAGAGGCTTGGGAGAGGCTGGGTGGAACCCAGCAGCAGCCTCGTCAACACCGCCAGTCCTCCCTAGGGCTAAGACAGGACTCCAGGGGCGGCCCTCCAAAGAGATGAGGGGTTCTCAGGGAGCTGCTAAGAGCAGCACTCCGGCTCCAGTTTTAAAATGTAAATAAATGTGAGACATTTAGGGGGCCTTGAGAGGCGGTAAGGAGCCCTGGTGGCACAGTGGTTAAGCTCTCGGCTGCTAACCAAAAGGTTGGCAGTTCGAATCCCCAGCTGCTTCCTTGGAAACCCTATGGGGCAGTTCTACAATGGCCTACAGGTCACTATGAGTCGGAATCGACTCAGCGGCAGTGGGTTTGGTTTGGGTTTTTTGGTTTTGACAGGAGCTAATGACTAAAGAGGACACCTCGCATGTCCACCCACACAGCAAGGCCGGTTTTTTAGCCTGTATACAATTTCTCCGTCAATGTCACTGTTGTTCCGTTCAAATTAGTCACCCTGCGTGGCTGTGCATTTATTCCAGCCATGCTGCCATTGCACAGGGCAGTTTGGGAACGGTTTTGGGATTTTCTTCAGGGCCAGATAATCAGCCACACGAAAATCACCCATGACTTGATCACGCCTTGTTTTTTTGGTTTTTTTTTTTTAACTCAAACCATCGTTTTCCAGCTCGATCGCCCACGTTATTCTAGTTTCAGCTCTGCCTGGCTTTTGTCAGTTTGGGGAAATCACATCCACCTTCCAAAGATGCCTTGAGAAAGAGGCAACCCAAGTATGAGGAGCCTCCTGAAAAATCTTCCCAGATATCTATCAGGAGAAATGGCCTTGCCAAAAAACCTAATCTGATAAGCCTCTAGATGTAACCACAAACAGGAAATACCGAGAACAGAGGAACACCTTAAATGACACCCCGGAAAACAGTGAGCAAAGCACAGACCATGGCAATCCCTATAATACAAACATGTTCTTTATCAATAAATCGCAAAGGAAAAAACAAGGAGGACGGCTCTATAGATTAAAAGAAATTGGGAGATTCATTGATCTGTATACTTATCATTTGTGGCCTTTTTCCTATATGTATTATACTTCAATTTTTTTTTAATTAACAGAAGAACAAAGAGACTTGAGACATCAACCAATTGCAATATATGAATTTTACTTCCATCTTGATTTGAACAAAAAAATAGCAAAAGAAATTTTTATGAAACGGAATTTTAAACGCTATCTGAACATATAATGATATTAAGAAATTCCTGTTACTGTTTTTGGTGGGATAAAGGTATTATGGTTAATGTTCTTTAAAGAATCCTTACTTTTTAGAGATACGTGCTGAGATATTTATTGATGAAATGATGTATCTGGGATTAGCTTCAAAGTAATCCCAACTGAGGACCAATAGAGGAAGGGAGGAGTAAATACAGAGATAAGATTGGTTTTAAGTTAATAATTGTTCATTATACTATTCTGTTGACTTTTGTATATGTTTGAAATTGTCCGTAATAAAACATTTTTAACAAAGATGGTTTGCCACCACAGAGGATGGCAAATCAAAACGTAATTACAAAAAAAAAAAATCAAACCCGTTGCCATCGAGTTGATTCCGATTCATAGCGACCCTACAGAACTGCCTCATAGGGCTTCGAAGGATCGGCTGGTGGATTCAAACTGCCGACCTTTTGGTGAGCAGCCTGAGCTCTTCACCACTGCGCCCCCAGGGCTAAGATAGCTCAAGCTATAGCGGCGTCACGTGTATTTCGCTATGTTGCTCCAGGATCCAGTGACCGGGTAGTGGCGGAAGGGCTCTCAGAAGGAAACGGCAGTTGAGGAAGGACACGTCCAAGGACAAATGAAGTCACTGGTGGGAGTATCATACCGCCCAGGGGTGTGCGTGCATGTAGACCTACAGAGAAGCGGACCAAAGGCAGAATCCTGAAAAACCCCAAATATTAAGCATGAGGCTGTGGACAAGAACCGTGAAGGATACTGATAAGCGGTTAGAGACGTAGGTGGAAGGAGAACTAGGACAGAGTCAAGATGGCGTGGCCACCAGAAGGCTGAGAGTCACGCGCAGTCAACAGAGCCAAAGGCCAAAGATGTTGAGTAGAATGAGGAACCAGACAGGTCCCAGGCTTGGGCAATAAGAGGATCGCTGGTGTCTTTACTGGACTTGAACTCAACAGCATGCAGGGGGCGGAAGCTGGACTGCAGTGGGTTGAGGAGAGAATGGAAATCAAGATGATGAGTGTAAATATCCCAGTCAAGGGAACACATCCTTTTTACAAAAAAGATGAGAACTCTCTGTGCTCTTCAAGGCTTGCTCAGCTGGCCCTCGCGCTCCCTTCCTCTGTCTCGGGGTAAGTAATGTCATCTGTAGGCTGAGAAGGGTGCAGTTAATGCTGTGCAAGCCCCTCCACCAAACCTGGAAATAAAATCAGGTAACAAGCACAGAAAGGAGCCCTGGTGGCACAACAGTTAAGCTCTCGGCTGCTAGCCAAAACGTTGGCGGTTCGAACCCACCGGGTGACTCCTGGGGCAAAGACCTGGCAATCTGCGTCCGTAAAGATTACAGCCAAGAAAGCACTATGGGGCAGTTGGGCTCAACAAGAAGCACAGCAGAGGGCAGACAGGTGAGACAGCAGCGTCATTAGTTAAGGACTGTGGCCACGCTTGTCTTTAGCAGCGTACCTTCTCCCCTCCGCAGACAGACTCCCGGTAAAGCCACAGCAGGAGAGTCTTCGGAAATGCCCCGAGTGTGCCCCTGGCTTGATAAGTATTCTTAATAGCTCGCTCCTCACCTGTCGTCACCTCTCACTTGGTAGATGGAGCCAGCCCAGGATTCAAGTCCTGGAATCCGCGGTGAGGCACTCGGGCGCCCTAGAATTGCTCAGCTGAGTCCCCACGAGGAGCCTGAGTCTGCAGCTGCCACTCCTGGGTGATCTCCTCTGGGTGACGTCAGGGTTCAGTATGAGCAGCCTGCTCACACATGCATGGGTGCCAGCGTCAGTGGACAGGAAGCACCGTGCGTGGCTCAGTAATCTGCCCCACCAAGAGTAAACTGGTTCCTTGGGCTGCATCTTCTGTATTGCTCTCAGAGGCATCTTAAGGAAAGCATGGGCATGGGGTGTGGCTGACACCAGGAGGGCTGAGGGCATAGATTAAGAGAGAGTCACTGCAGGTAAGGCAATAGGGGGCAGGTGACAGTCTTGGCTAACATTTCAGACTCCAGAGCCCAACCTCTTCACTACCACAGCAAAGAAGCAGGAGATAAGTCTAAACGATCCCTTTGAATGTCACTGGAGTCACGTTCAATTAATTATCAAGGTCCGTGCCAAGAGCGGAGCCCTGGTGGCACAGTGGTTAAGAGCTCGGCTGCTAACCGAAAGGTTGGTGGTTTGAACCCATCAGCTGCTCTGAGGGAGAAAGATGTGGCAGTCTGCTTCCCTAAAGATTACAGCCTTGGAATCCCTATGGGGCAGTTTTACTCTGTCCTATAGGGTCGCTGGGAGTCAGAATCGACCCAACAGCACCCGGTTTGGTACCAAGAGGCCCAGTGGTGCCAGTTGCTGTCCAGTCAATTCTGACTCGTGGGGACCCTCTGTATGTCAGGGTAGAACTATGTCCCACAGGGTTTTCAATGGCTGACTTCTGGGCAGTAGATCACCAGGACTTTCTTCCAAGGTGCCTCTGGGATTTCCAAGGCTGTAATCTTTATGTGGAGCCCTGGTGGGGCAGTGGTTAAGAGCTCGGCTGCTAACCTAAAGGTCAGCAGTCCGAACCTCCAACCTTTTGGTTAGCAGCTGCGTTAACTGATTGTACTACGCAGAGACCCCAAGCTCCGTGGTTTTCCCTCCTTATTCTCCAGAGGCCCCGCACTCGCTGGAATTCGTGCCTTTCCCTTTGGTCAGTGTTACACGTCAGTGCCCACTCCTGGGAAACATCACTTTCTTCTTTGATGGTAAAAGGGTAAAACAACCTGGCAAGGCATGGCAGATTCTCCTGACACGGCCATCAGGCAGTTCCCAGCCTGGAAAAGTAGGAGAAAACGTAGAGTCCCCTACAGGCACAGTTTCCTAACTAACATTTCTAAAATACTTCATCCCCATCTGGAGAGGCAAAGCTCCCAATTACTGAAGTGGTTTCCCCGCCTCGAAGCAGGGACAGCACCCCCTCCGGTCCACACGTTACTCCGCTGGCAGAATTCGCTTTCAAAAACACAAGTAACCACAAGCTCGCTCCCTTGCCCAACAACCACAATGACTCCGGAATTCAGTTTCAGCTTCAAGGCCTGCCATTCAAGGTCGTCTGTACATGGTGTCCCCAGCTTCCCTTTGTTCAGATGATTTTCTTTTCATCTCCGCTTGGGTTGTT